CTCTCTCTCTCTCTCTCTCTCACTCACTTTCTCTCACTCTCCCTCTCTCTCTGTCTCTCTTTCTCTCCCCCCCCTCTCTCTCTCTCTCTCTCTCACTTTCTCTCACTCTCCCCCTCTCTCTCTCTCTCTCTCTCTCTCTCTCTCTCTCTCTCTCTCTCTCTCTCTCTCTCTCTCTCTCTCTCTCTCTCTCTCTCTCTTAAATCTTCCTTCTCCTCTATCTTTAGATTATGTTAATTATACTGCTTTTTCTGTTGTCGTAATCTAGTTGTGATTATATATTGCTGTTACTGTTGTTTATGTTGCTGTTCTTGTTGCCGTTGTTGTAGTAGCTGCTGCTAATTTGCTATTGTTGTTGTGGGTGGTGGTGGTGGTGGTGGTGACTTTTTAACATCTTTAAAGTATCATCTGTTTATCGCTCTTCTCTACAGCCCACACTAGATTTATGTTAAATACCTTAAATAATTGGTAGATAAGGAGATTTAGGATCGTAGGTCTCAATCAAAGGTTCGGTGGAAAAAAGAAACGTATTTTTAAAACGCGTTAAGGCTGCATGACGAGAAAAGACCAGAAATCCGCCCATAAAAAAGATGGTCATAAAAAATACAATAAAATGAATGGAATCTTAGAGCAAAACAGAAACCCCCGATTTACTTACTTGCAAACGGAGAGCAAAACGCTGTCTAGAGGTAGCTTTGGGTCTTTAACTTTAAGTTTGCAAGACCTCGATTTATCAGACAGTGAATATGTATGATTTATTACCACTGAGATGTTATCCGGCCGCGACTGAGTGCACTCGACTTCAAAGCTCCTACAGGCGCAAGACAAACATCGTATCCGCTATCTAGAGGGCGTCCTATCGTCCTGTGTGGCCGCACATCAAACAGGACGGACGTCGCCGTATCTATATCGCCTTAATTGTTTTTCAACAGTCTCTAAAAATCGATCTGGCCGCCCATAACGCTACCGGCTATCTTGTGGCGCTATTGTTCAGAGAGAAGGAGAACCAGGCAGGCAGGATGAATGAATGTGGGCAACGGGAGAGAAAGATGTTTCCCCCGACGGTCACCGGCTTTTGAGGTTGGATCAAATTGTGGATGCGTGCGACACTTCCCGCTTGTAGACACCATCGTGGTGTGATGGGGGAGGGGTACCAGCCCTTGTGTCACGGGGAACGGGTACCAGCCTATGATGAAATGGGAAGGGATCATATGTCAGGTAACTAGCACGATGAGAAAGGTAGGGGCTACTTGAAAATAATATTGCGTGTCTGAGGAGCTGTTTTTCTGATGTTGGAGCGAGGGGGAGACGCTCAGGTATTCGGTTCCAGATTGGGAGGGGAATAAATAAATGTGAGTGCGTGTGTGTGTGTGTGTGTATGTGTGTGTCTACGTGTGTGTGTATATGTGTTTGTGTGTGTGTATGTCTGTGTTTGTGTGTGTGTCTGTGTATGTGTTTGTGTTTGTGTGTTTGTGTGTGTGTCTGTATTTGTGTGTGTGTCTGTGTTTGTGTGTGAGTGTAGTGTGTGTGTTACTGTGTGTGTCTGTGTGTATGTGTTTGTGTGTGTGTATGTCTGTGTTTGTGTGGTTGTGTGTGTGTGTGCTTGTGTGTGTGTATTTGTGTGTGTTTGTGTTTGTGTGCGTGTGTCTGTCTATGTTTGTGTGTGTGTCTATATTTGTGTGTATCTATATTTGTGTGTGTGCGTGTGTGTGTGTGTGTGTGTGTGTGTGTGTGTGTGTGTAGTGT